AAAGAATCATCATAAACACATCTACAGCACATTCCTTCCCCATTATATTTTTGCAATTCTTGAAAAATAAATTCCATAATCAAAAATAAATATATGATTATATTAATTCAAATCCATTTTTTCATTTCTTCTTTTTGCCCAAAGTGTAGATAACATTATTTTATGCATATAATATCCATTTTATTCTCTGATGCAAGAATATCTGATATTTTTAACTATCATCTTCGCAAATGCTGTCATTTATAATTATTTCTCTTCTTTTTAATTTTATAGAGCACTTTCTTTTGAAAACTATGTCTGAACTGTATTCTAATTCTCTGGTGGTATCAGTTTATGCACAGTAGAGTACAAACTCAAGGGAATTTTCCTTTCCAATATGAGATCCTGGACTATCAACTTTTAGTACAGTTTTATCAGAACTCCCTTTCCTCCTGTTAAAACTAGTACTTTCAGTGATGCTGAATTTCTGGAAACAGAAGGCTCAATTCTCTTCATAAATCCCTTTTAAATTCAGTAAGACGCCTCTCTAAGTTAATAAATACCTTTTGAAATCACTCTGTAGAGAAGGTCAGAATGTGCATAAGATTAAGGGCTTCTCTGTCTCCTCTGTGTAGGCCAACTGTAAATGAAGTTGGCTTAAGAAATCCTTTCACATCATTTAACTATTTTGATACCCATGTTTTTTCTGGATTGTGCTCCTTTTCTCTTCCAATGCACACAAGAAAAGCAAGCAGTGATTACTTCCCCGATCGTGGGAGTGTCTTTTGAGGACAGGTTAAAAACAAACAAAAGCCAGAACATATTTACAGTTCTTCTTCTCACTTGGATTACAAAGTCCAGCTTTTCCTGGCAGGCAGCCCAGCACAAAATGGCCATTGAAGACCAACAGCACTAGAGCATACACCAGGTACAGGGGCATTTATTTAAGATAAAAGGTAGTTCAGCAGATGGACTGGATTGCTCCAGTTATGCCAGCAAAACATTACTTTTTAGGCAGAGGAAAAAAACTCAGGGGATATCACCTTTCTAGCATGCTAAAGGTAGGCAGGACATGAGATTATCCATTAAAGCCTTCTGAAAATGGCATGTGGCCCATCCTGAAAGTTTTGTAAGCCACCTGGAGTCACCAGAATTGGGCAGCTATATAAATTTATTTAATAAATAAACAAACAAATAAATACAGGTAACCCTTGTCTTATGACCACAATTGAGCAAAAATTTCTCTTCCTAAATAAGATAATTGTTAAGTGAGTTTTGCTCCATTTTATAATCTTTTTTGCCACAGTTGTTATGTGAATCACTGCAGTTATTAAGTTAGTAACACAGTTGTTAAATGAATCTGGCTTCCCCATTGACTTTGCTTGTCAGAAGGTCACAAAAGGTGATCAGATCACCCCAAGATACTGCAACTGTCATAAATACAGGGCAGTTGCCAAGCGGCCAAATTTTGATCATGTGACAATGGGGATGTCATAAATTTAAAAAATGATCGTTAAATCACTTTTTTCAGTGCCATTGTAACTTTGAATGGTCACTGAATGAATGATTGTAAGTTCCAACTATCCTGGAAAAGACAATCAACCAACAGATCTGTGAACATTAGAAACAAATAAAGTTATAACCAGAAGCCAACATGGATTTGTCAAAAACAAATCATGCCAAACAAATCTTATTGCATTGTTTGACAAAGTGACTAAATTAGTGAGCCAGTGGAATGCTGTGGACATAGTACACTTGGACTCCAGTAAGGCATTTGACAATGTAGACCACAATCTGCTTCTTGGAAAGATAGAAAAATGTGGGATAGACAGCACTACCACTAGATGCATTTGTTCCTGGTTGAAAAACTGCACTCAACATGTACTCCTCAATGGGACAGTATCTACATGAAGTACCCCAAGATTCTGTCTTAGGCCCAATATTCTTCATAAAAAATTTAGATGAGGGGATAGAAGGGAGCTCATTAAATTTGCAGATGACACCAAGCTGGCAGGAGTAGCCAACACCCCAGAAGATAGACTTAAGATACAGAAGGATCTCGACAGACTAAAACACTGGGCCCTATCTAACAAAATGAAATTCAATGGTAAGAAAAGTAAGGTTTTATACTTAGGCAAGTAAAAACAAATGTACAACTACAGAAAAGGTTGTACCTCACTCAATTGCAGTAACTGTGAGAGGGATCTAAGACCCTAGTGGACAATCACTTAAATACGAGCTTGCAGTCACCAAAAAAGCAATGCAGTCTGAGGCTGCATTAATAGAGGGATAAAATCAAGATTATGTGAAGAGTTAATACCACTTTATAATGCCTTGGTAAGACCACATGGAATATTGTATCCAGTTTCGGTCACATAATATAAAAATGATATTGAGACTCTAGAAATAGTGCAGAGAAGAGCAACAAAGATGATTAGGAGACTGGAGGCTAAAACCTTTGAAGAATGGAAATGAGTTTGTCTAGTCTAGTGACAAGAAGGACTAGGGATAAACTTAGCAGTGTTCCAACATTTGAGGGGCTGCCACAAGGAAAGGGGATCAGCCTACATGCCAGTTGCCAAGCATCCAAATTTTGATCATGTGACAATGGGGATGCTGCAATGGTCATAAGTTTGAAAAATGGTCATAAGTCCCTTTGTTCAGTGCCATTCAAAGCACCTGAAGGCTGCTCAAGAAGCAATGCATGAACTAATTAAGAACTAATTCCTTGAACTAATCAAGGAAAGAACTGACCTAGAACTAAGGAGAAATTTCCTGAGAGTGAGAACAATTAATCAGTGAAACAACGTGCCTCCAGAAGTCGTGGGTGCTCCAACACTGGAGATTTTTAAGAAAAGACTGAACAACCATTTGTCTGAAATTGTAAAAGGTCTTCTAATTGAGCAGAGGGTTGGACTAGAAGACCTCCAAGACCTCCCTTGTAACTTTATTATTCTGTTTTTTGGTTAAGTGACTGAAGAATATAAGGCTATTATTTCAATAAAAAATAAGTGCATTTGTTTTTCTTTATATTTGGACTGTGTTCCTCATATATCAATATTAAATATTAATTTTTATACATTTCTATACAGCATTTTTGCAAGTTACTAAAAATCCATGCATACATTTATTATTGTATACATTTTATAAATACATACATTTATTTGTTTTATATCTCATCTCATGTTGTGATCATGGCAAATTCATGCTACTACACAATCATCATATTTGTAGAAGCCACTCAGAGACTTATTATGCATATTGGAAGCAGCCTATGGTCAGCTAACTGGGTGTGGCTGTTTTTCATATTTTTAGATAAGCTATAACTTGCCCATGGAGTTATTTTTTTAAGACAACTTTTCTAAAGAAAGTATTTCCCCTTCTAAAGGACATAGTTCAGTACAAAATTCCCCCACCTCATTCTGGATAATGTGTGGAATGACTTTGTGACAACTGTATTATATGTGTATTACCTGTGTCCTTTTAAAGAACTTTATTATTGCAAAAACTTTTTTTACTGGCTTTGACACATTGGGGCTTTCAATGTCACAAATTCATTCTTCATGTTTAAAAAATGTAGTCAGATGACCAGACAATAGGATTAAGTAGAAAGGATTTTTAATCTTGTTTTATTTATGAATCTCTTCGAAACAACTCTGTAGCTAATACTAAATGAAGAGTCTCTTTGGGGTAAGCCAAGATAATAATCTTTCCTTACAATTTTAATACTAGTCTTTGCAATGTTTGAATGAGTTCTGCTTCCAGTGCATGCAATGAAAATTTTGAGTTGAATAAAAGGACACAGATGATGTACAGATGTGACACAAAATCACAGCTTTGGGGAAACGCCAATGGTTGTTCTTTTCAGTTTCCTTCCCTAATTTAGTTGCTTACATACTGCCCAGCAAGCAACCCCAACCCCAAAATAATCCCATAATTTACTTTGAAATTATGCCAGATATCAAATCTTTGTCATATTCGTTTTGGACAAAGAATTCCAGATTTTAGACAGTTAATATATTGGTAAAAAGAAACTCCTGTGTTTTAAAAACTAATTTTAAAGCAATTATGAAGAGGTACTTTTTAATGGTTGCATCTAATTCTTTTTGTTAGTAATGAGCTTATTTAAGCAATGACCTTATATATAAAATTAAATGGGAAAATTATTAGACAGACTATTCATTTCCTTTTCTAAGTAAATGCCCAGTGAATTGGTTAATATAGTTTTTTTCTTCAGTTAACCTCATCTTAAGGAATTTGTTAATTAAAACATCTGTGCAAAGTTCTATTTTGTTCTGTATCATCATTCTAAATAACTGAAGCTAAAGCATTTAGCACCAAATAAAGCTGTTCTTTCTGTGATATTGAAAGTGTGTCATTAAACACTTAAGATTTGCAGAAAAATAAATAAATGTGGATTTTGAACATGTGTTTTACCTCAATTCATCACAAAGAAATACAAACTACAAATGTGTTAATTTTAAATGATCTTAAATAGATTTATTACTAGGAAACCTCATTTTTTCAGTACAAAACACTTTAAATGTTACAAATATGCTTAGACTATTTCTTGAATTTTTAATTAAAAATGAAATGAGTAAATAATATTCCACCTGTAGGTCTGTCAAGTGTTAAAGGTTATTTGCATTGACTTCAAACATTAAAAGCAGTTAAAAGCAGCAACTCTAAATCTATACATTGAGGTATATAAATCCCATTGAACTCAAAGAGTTTACTTTGAATAAACTGGTATCAAATTGCATTATAATAATGGTTCAGCACAAAAAAAGATTACTGGAATTAAAAGACATCACAGCGATCCCCCTTGGAAATTTAACTACCTTACCATGTTTCATGTATAGGTTTAAGTGATACTAAGCATGATTTTCTTGGCTTCTCATTATAAATTAGACATAATCTTTTCCTTGATTACATTTTCAGCCATGTTAAAACAACTGCAACCTATATTTGCGTTCAGACAATAAGACTGAATCTCAAGATATGTTCAAAAAGGCACTTACCTGTCTGCAGAAAGAGCCATGAGGGTGAAGACTGACACCCCCACTGAAGTAAGCTGAATAAAAGGGATAAGTTTACATCCGACTCGACCAAAGAGCCATTCAGAAGACAAATATCTGCTGGCATCCACAGGAACACAGGTGATCAAAAGAAGCAAGTCTCCAAAAGCCAGACTGGAAATAAACAAATTAGGGACATTTCTCATGGACTTTACTGTACAAAAGATTTTAATCAGGGTGATATTACCAACTAGCCCAATCAAAATGATGATCCCATAAATAGCTGGAATTGCATATAGGAATCTGTAATAAAACAAGTCCTCGCCTGAGAAAGAGAAATTTGTATGTTGATCAGTAGAAACATTACAGAGAATAAAGTCACTGAGTTCTGTATCTAGAAAAATGCAGTCCTCTGTCATTCTTGGGATTTGGCTAGGAAATGAATATTAAATGGAAAAAGCATGAGCAAATTGTTTTGAGCTGTTTGCCTTCCTCCTCTGTAACTATTGATGGAAGTGGGTATATGTGATATTGCTTATCATGAAAGGAAAGACACTCATTATAAATAAGCTCATTCAAATGAATAAGTGTCAACCTAGTTTCATTTCCAAACCTCTTCTCTTTGTCTGTTAGTTAGGATGGTGAATAAATATTTTCCTAGTTGTCAAGAGCAAAAGATGTCATCGATGCAAAGCCATCCAGGTCCAAGATCTATGCCGCTTTCACTGCCCAAATATATAGAGCACGTTTTTCAAGAACAAATTGGTTGTTGCTGTCTTCCTCATCTTTTCAGCCTGCATTTGTAGGCTGTGTTTACAGCAAAAGTAAGGAGCAGCTCTTTTAAACACACATATGCTAGAGGCAGGATCTCTGAGACGTCAGCAGTGCTTGCTTTACTTCACACAATATTGCAACCTTCCTTCAATGGGTATATATTTAATAGGTGTAGGAAATTTCCTGCCTGGTTTTTTGGGAGCATGCCAGCCACCTACTGGACACGTTTGATACTGCTCCACCTAATAGAGTCAGAATCTGGAATATTTTTGTTCTAATTTTCTCTGAAGGATATATCTGTGGGGAAAAGTCTTAGACTTTTGCCTCTGGTTTTGGGGAAAAAAGAAAGAAAACAAAGTTGATGCTTTATTTCAGAAATGTGAGTTAGGGAAAGACTCTGAGTAATCAGCTGAAGAATGCAAATGATAGAGGTCTTCTAGTCCAGCCCCCTGCTGAAGCAGGAGAACCTATACCATTTCAGACAAGTGACTATCCAATTTCTTCTTAAAAATCTCCAGTGATGGAGTGCCCATGATTTCTGAAGGCAAGCTGTTCCACTGGCTAATTGTTCTCACTGTTAGGAAGTTTCTCCTTAATTCCAGGTTGCTTTTCTCTTTGGTCAGTTTCCAGCCATTGTTTCTTGTCTTGCCCTCTGGTGCTTTGGAGAATAGTTTGATACCTTCTTCTTTGTGGCAGCCCCTCAAATAGTAGAATACTACTATCATGTCGTCCCTGTTTCTTCTTTTCTTTAGACTAGCCAAACCCAAGTCCTGCAGCTGTTCTTCATATGTTTTTGTCTCCAGGCCTTTGATCGTTTTAGTTGCTCTTCTCTGAACTTTTTCCAAGGTCTCAACATCTTTTTTGTAGTATGGTGGCCAAAACTGGTTGCAGTATTTCAAGTGTGGCCTTACTAGGGTTTTATAAAGCAGTACTAATACTTACTAGGGTTTTATAAAGCAGTACTAATACTTTGTGTGATCTTGATTCTATGCCTCTGTTTATACAGCCCAGGATTGTATTAGCTTTTTTGTCTGCTGCTGCACACTGCTGGCTCATAGTCAAGTGATCGTCCACTAGGACTCCAAGGTCTCTCTCACAGTTACTGTTTCTTAAGCCAGGTCTCACCCAATCTGTACTTAAACCTTTGATTTTTCCTGCCTAAATGTAAAACTTTGCTTTCCTCCACATTAAAATTCATTTTGTAGGATAGGGCCCATTGTTCAAGTTTGTCAACATCCACATACTGGGAGAGGGGGCTTTCTCCTCTATTAGGTCTTTTCTTCTTCTTTCCTGTGGGTTCTGCCATACTCCTGGGGGGAAGGGGGAAACTATGGGAACTACAATGTATTTTTTTTCACTTTGCTTCAGCTGCTACAATATATCCTCTCTGCTTCCTCTATCTGTTTGCTCTTTGAACTGTTTCCCCTTGATGCCAACCTGGGGGTGAGAAAAGAATGTGCCTCCAGCCATCTGGCTTATCTCTCACTGAAGAAGACTAGTTGCAAAGACCTAACAAGAGCTTCACAGCCTTGGGAACGGCGCCTTATCAGCCTCGTTCCCACAGCGGATTCATCACCTGGGGATTGGCCCATTTGAGCTGACCGGATTAACTATTGCTCTTGCTCTTTTTTTTTTTAATTAAAAGTTTTACAAATTATAATATAAACCCACCCATCCCCTCCCCCCCTCCCCCACTTCCCAGAGCTGATTACAGGGTAACAAATAAACAAACATAGTCTAGCTAGCATAAACCAACTAAACTATCAATCAAAACCATAATACACTTTAACTCCTTCTCAAAACAAATATTAACAAATTAAGACAAAAATAAAAATCTATTCAAAAGCAAGATAATACTTTTCAGTTTCATACTTCTTCTGAATATAATCAATCCATCTTCTCCAAACCAAAATATATCTTTCTTGTGAATGATCCTTCAAATAGGCGGAGATTTTCGCCATTTCTGCTAAATTAGACACTTTAAGTATCCATTCTTCCAAACTAGGCAATAAGTTTTTCTTCCAATATTGCCCCACCAATAATCTTGCAGCAGTTATGAAGTTCAACATCAAATTAGTTTCTTTAACATCCAAATATACAATAATACCCAACAAATATAATTGCGGAGTAAACTTTATCTTTTTCTTAAAAATCTTTTGAATATTCCACCAAATCTTAATCCAAAAAGCTTTAATATCTTTACAAGTCCACCAAATATGAAAATAAGTTGCATCTAAATTTCCACATCTCCAACATTTGGGCTGTAATTTCGGATTCATGCGGGACAACTTTTGGGGATCCAAATGCCATCTATAAAACATGTTATAAAAATTTTCTCTTAAATTTTGTGCTTGAGTAAAATTTACATTTCTAACCCAAATTGTCTCCCATGTATCCAGTAAAATTGGCTCTTGGATATTTTGTGCCCATTTAATCATACAATCTTTAACTAACTCCGTTTCAGAGTCCAATTCTATTAAAGCATTATAAATTCTTTTTATATGAAATCGACTTTGATCTTTAATCTGTTTTACCAAATTCACATCCTCTAAAGTAATACCAACCTTTTTAATCTATATTCCACCTCAATAACAATTGATTATAATAAAACCAAGAATATACAATATTTTCTTGCTTCAACTCAGTTAAAGGCTTTAATTGCCAATGCTGCCCAACCAAACTAAGTATTTCCTTATAAGAAATCTTATCCAAATTTACTCCCCTAGATACTTCCTCTATCACGTGTCCTGGAACCCCCCAAATTGGAATTTTATAATTTAACCTATAGTAATACTTTTTCCAGACACGCAACAAGGCATTTCTGAAAATATGGGTTTTAAAAACCTGATCCACTTTTTTGTCATAAATTAAATATGCGTGCCATCCATATAATAAATCCCATCCCTCAAGAGATAGGATATTCTTATTTGTTAAGTTGAGCCAATCACTAATCAAGGTTAAAGCCACTGCATCATAATACAATTTTAAATTCAGTGCCTTTAATCCTCTTTCCCGTATATCCTGCATAATTTTAAATTTAACTCTCGCCTTTTTCCCTGCCCAAATAAATTTATTAATCCCCTTCTGCCATTCTTCCAAATTGGCATCTTTTTTCAAAATAGGTATCATCTGAAATAAAAAAAGAGACTTTGGAAGTATATTCATTTTAACTGCCAAAATTCTCCCCAACAAAGATAATTGTAATTTTTTCCAATCATTTAAATCCTTTTGCACTTTTACCCATAATATCTCATAATTATTTTTATACAATTTAACATTAGAAGACGTTAAATAAATTCCTAAATATTTGACCTTTCTCACTATTCAAAACCTGTTAATTTAACTATAATATCCTTTTCCTTCATAGACATATTTTTCGATAATATTTTAGTCTTATTATTATTTACCTTAAACCTTCCCATACTGAAGTAAAATTTCAACCAAATCCCTAACTGAATCTGTCGGTTGAGATAATGTCACAACCAAGTCATCAGCAAAAGCTCTCAACCTATAATCGTTCTTATTTATTTTTATTCCCTTTATTCTAGGTGACTCCCGAATTTTAATAAGTAAAATCTCCATGGTTAAAACAAACAACAATGGGGATAAAGGACATCCCTGTCTTGTACCCTTTTCAATTTTAAATGCTTCTGTTAAACCCCCATTAACTATAATTTGTGCAGATTGCTGTTGATATATTGCCTTAAGGGCAAATAAAAATTTATCCCCAAAATTCATTTCCTCTACTACTCTGAGTAAAAATTGCCAATTTAATTGATAAAGGCTTTTTCAGCATCTAAAAAAATCAAAGCCACAGGGATTTGATTGTTCTTGTCCAAATACTCAATTAGATTAACAATTTGTCTAACATTATATTTCATATATCTTCCAGATATAAATCCAGATTGATCACTATGAACCAGTTGCTTCAAAACTCACATTAATCTATTTGCCAATATTTTTGAGAAAATTTTATAATCTGTATTCAAAAGAGATATAGGCCTATAATTTTTGGGCTGGGTCAAATCTTGATCCTCCTTCGGAATCAATGATATGAAAGCCCTTCTCCATGATGGAGGTACCTTTGCTCCCAACAAAATATTATTAAAAAGTTCCTTCAATGGTTCTATCATTTCTTCAGATAACATTTTATAATAAATTGCTGTTAATCCATCTGTACCTGGAGCCTTACCAACTTTCAATTGTTTAATTGCCCAAATAATCTCATCAGAAGTAATTAAACCATTAATTTCATATCTTTGATCAGAAGTAAGTTTAGGGAAATGTGATTCCTGTAAATACTTTTCTATATCTAAAACATGTATATTTTCACTGGAATATAACTTTGAATAAAAATCTTAAAAAGTCCTTTTAATCAAATTTTGTTGATAAACTTCTTTACCTTTATAATTTATTTTTTCTATAATCCTTGATTTCTGTTTCTTTCGTAGTTGGTAAGCCAACTACCTACCAGGTTTGTTTGCATTGCAAAATATGTTATGTTTCATATACTTCAAATTAATTGCAATCTGATCAGCTATTAACATATTAAATTGCTCCTTAAGCAAACTAATAGAAACCTTTAAATTATTATCCAATGGATTTAAGATAAAAGCCTTTTCCTTAGTTTTAATCTCTAATTCCAACTCTTTACGTTTTTGCATCTGTTTACGTCTATAAGCATTATTCATATGAATCAAGACCCCTCTCATATATGCTTTACTGGCGTCCCATACCATTGGCATCGAAGTACCCTTATGCATATTCAAAAGAAAAAATTCCTTTAAATAATCTCTGCATCTCTATACATTCCCCTCAAATCTGAATAAATTTTCATTCAATCTCAAAGTCCTTCTATTCCCGTCTTCAGTAGATAACTCCATCCATACAGGACTATGATCTGACAATATTCTTGGGAATATCTTAGCATTCTTCACCCTAGAAAAAAGATCATTAGTAATTTAAAAAAGTCAGTTCTGGAATACGACTGATGCCTGTCCAAAAAGAAGGTAAAGTCTCTTTCTTCCATACTCCGTTCACGCCAAATATCTCG